AATAAACAACCAAATAGCCTACCAAAGAACAAGCAATTTTTTTTGCTGCTTTCCATTCCTGTATTTGGTGGTGTTTCCTATCTTTGTTTCATTGTCTGCCGGCTATGTATGTTTATCCCCTGCCTTTATCCATTGACACCAACTAGCTCACAGCTTGGAAGGTATTCATCTTAATAAATAAGGACGCTGACAACATAAAAGTAAAAGTTCTCTTTCGGGACTCAAATTGACTAGAGTTGACATGAGCTCTATTCTGGTGCAGGGGCAACAATCTGTTAAAGGGGCCATATTTGTATTTGGTGCCTCTACTGTGACATGTTCACATGCTTTAATGTTCAAAAAGCTCTTTATTTTTCTCATACTTCCTGTGCTGCAGCACCTCATTTCACCCTCTGTCTGAAACCAGAGCCCAGTCTGCTCTGACTGGTTAACTGGTCAGCTATGTTATGATTGGTCGACCACTTCTTGGTGAGAAACACCCTCTTTCTCAATGTCGAGTATACCTGCTGCAGAGCCACTATTTCAAGTATACTACGTCATCGAGTGGCGCCTGTTTAAATGCATGTTAAAAGCCCAGCATTCGGCGCCACTCGATGACGAAGTATATGAAATAGTGGCTCTGCAGCAGCTCTACTCGACTCTGAGAAACGGCCCTCAAACTACTACTACTACTGCCTGGTTCCTCAGGCTCTCTGCATCAGCTGTGTTAAGAGATGAGCTCCTTTTCACTTCTGAATATGCATAAAGCAAAGTCATGAACACCTTCTTTTTCAGATGATACAGTTAATACAGAGGTTCAGAGAGCAGAAAGGACATCATCTCACCTGTAGATATGTTTCTGGTGTCATACTCTCTCTGCAGAAAACAAGAACTTGTTGTATCTTGGAGAAGAATGTTTTTTGTCCTTCGGGTGAGTAAAGTAGAAGGTCAATACTTTGTCAATGTGGAGATAGCTTTCCATTAACCTGTTTGAGATCTCTTACCTAAGCTTTGTGTTTCGGTTCATTGCTCCAAGAGTTTCTATCACAAAGCAGTACATTAACACCAATCACATCATTAAAAAGGCAGCGCTAAGACTGCTCCTTTTTCACTTTTATGAAGTAATCTTGTTACAGATATGGGCATCTGTTTAATGCCTGCTATATAGTGACGCCTGTTGGCGCTTTGGTAAACTGCATGCTGACACAGGCTTACGCTTTGATGTACTACATGCGCAGACGCGGGAGGGTACATGTGATGGAGTTGTGAGTTACTGAAATAAAGCTGCAGACTGAAACAAATCCCTCATCTACGAGTTCAGACGGTCAAACTAAGAAGAAACGTACTCAGAGTGACACAAACGCCTCCAACATCATTGGCTGTGACCATGCTTCATTGCCTCAGTTGATTCAACTAGCAACTGCCGTGGCATCATTTCAATAATCTGCTGCAATGTTACCAGAGTTGCATTCATTTTTCCGCCAATATCTTGTATTTATGATGGGAGAGTGGCACCACTGCGCAAAGTCTTCTTCAGCACATC